GGTTGTTTCCTGCTGAATTGTGTCCTTCCAAAGAACCATGGCTAACTTAGTGTTATCCTGGGAAATTTGTGCTCATGCTTTCAGAGGACTATACTTACTAATAATTTTGTAGGACAGAACATCAAAATAGGCTTCAGTTGAGCAAGTTCATAATGATCCTGTTCAGTAAACACAAAAGAAATGGGGAAAAAAGAAATGAAAAGATCTAGACAAGTTTTTAAAAAATGTTTGTTATAAAAGAGATGTTGCTGGTGCTAGTGGGGGTTAGTATGCTAACTGAAGAGTTTGCATATAGTAAAATGATAGTTGAATATGTGAACCATTTGAAGGGGGTGACAGCTTGGGTAAGCGTTCACTAGTTAATCAGAATTGAAATGCCAAAAGATTAAACGTGAAGCACAGTGCAATTTGCCATATCACCTTTACCATGAAGCATGGTATCTGTTACCAGAACATTTGCAGACTGTATGTGAAAATGAACTAGATTTTAATGATAATAGAGATCAGGGATGTGAGAACAGAGAGAAGAACTGTAGTGCCCTTAACAGTGTATTTGTTAACCGAAGTGTTTTGGAAAAGGCCTTTCATGAAAATTAGATTATACCTTGAAAGACAGGTATAAGCAACAAGAAACAGTTTGTCCCAAAGAAACAGTTATTTCTTTGACCGCCTCTTTGGCTGTCCCTTATTAATATGTTCTGCTTTTATACATTTTGTTGCTCACAAATATTTTCTAGTTCTGTGTGGTATGCATTTTTAGGTAGGGAGGGAACTGATTCAAAAGAGCTTGTACAGGACCAGAATAGATAACGCATTAATTTCCTGCTTATCACAGTTAACAAATCAGAAGCTAGTGTTCTTTGGATTTTTTTAATCCATGTACTGCAGTAAGAGTAATTTGAGCAAGCATGCTTGTTTCATTTTTATCATACAGAGAAAAGCAACCCTAAAAGGCTAAATAATATTAAAATATTGCTATCTTTTGCCACAATGGTTAAGGTATTCAAGGGTTGATTTCTAACTTTGCTAGCTTTCAGTCTTTGATCACCTAACTTCCCTAGAGGATAGCATACACTGTTGTAATAAATTGTCTGAGAAGACAACTCCCTTTCCATCTCTTTAATTATTGTTAAGCAATTAGTCAGTATCAACCATGTTCATGGCTAGTAACTTGATTTATTATTTATTAAAACATTTATATCTTGTCTTTCTGATGTTAAAAGCCCACGGATATAAAATAATATTTAAAGCAGCTGCAAGATAGAAAGGGAAACAGTCAGATAATGGACCACAGCAATTAAGCAAGGCATGCTTTAAAAGAGTCTGGGTTTTGTTGATTGCCAGAAGGGATCGATGAGGTAAATAACTGGATCTCGTTGGCAGGACACTCTGCAGTCTAGTTGCTGCCTTGTCCCTACCTGCCAAACTTCAGTTATCAGAAGAACAGTCAATAGAGGTTCCTTTATTAAGCAGAATGCCTGCACAGGTTCAAACAAAAGAAGGCAGTCCCAAGCCATAGAGGCCTCAGTGGTTAAGGCTAACAATCTGAATTGAGTCTGAAGAGGAAATGGCAAGCTGCATAGCTGCAATAGCACTACAGTGATACTTTGTGTTTGCTTAGCCTGCCAAAAAGGCACCTGGACTGGGTTATACACAGTAGGCAGGTTTGCATGATATGAAGGTGATTAACAAATAATGGGGACCTGTTAACTACCGCACTGGCTAATTTCCTGTACAGCCCTTTCATTAACCATACTTGTATCATGAGAACCTGGTCCGTCAAGTTTTTTTTTTTTTAGTCATTCATGTTTATTGTGTGTTGCAAAAATGGTGCTGAGCTGCACCTTAAAGGGAACAGATGATAAAATAAACTAAAACACTGCACTTCTTCAGGTAAGGGTTAGAAAGATCCATAATTGCATATAGTTATATAGCATTACTTATGTATCCCTTTGTATTCATATATAACAGAACATACAACTCTTATATAATTATGCATAAGCTCCCACCAAGTTATCCATATCCATATAGTTATCCATTTGTAGATCACGCCTAAAGACCACCCATGCAAAAATTGAAAGTTTTGTTAAATCCTCCACCCATTGTGTTATTCGGGTGGCCATTTATCCTTCTAATGTTGTAATATTAGTCTTTTAGCTGTCAAAAGGGTATAGAAAATCCATTTGCATTGACCTTGTGTTCAATTCCTTGCATCAGTCAGTTAAGCGAGGCGGCTCTTGCCTGTGGGCTTATGATTTAAAAGAAAATTCAAAACAAAACGGAATAGGTAGAGAAAAATGAAGTAGCCTTTTAGCAGGACTGGTGAAATGACTCCACTTGCTCTTTTGCAGACTTGAATGAAATGCTCACTTTTTAATGTAACTACACATAACCAGTGATCCTGACTTACTCCTTTGTAGCACTGGCACAGTGATCAAAACCAAACATGGTACATTAACTAAATACACAGCGAAGTAGAGTGGCCCGTGTGTGCATATATATTTTGCATTCCAAATGTTTTATAGGGATCTCTGCTGCTGAATATATTCATTATTACTTAGAATTATCAGTAATGGAGGACATCTGTTGTGTACATATGCTTTTCAACATGAAGTGCATCTTGAGGGTTGAAGCAAATTGGTTAAATATGTGCTTTAAAGGGGTGGGGGGAAGAAAAATACTGATAATAGCATTTTATATACTTTGTTGGCAGCTTAATTTTGTTACCTCACTTTAAACACTTCAAATAGACTTAAAGAATGTTTGCTTTTTTCAGATTAAAATTATATATTCAAGCCTTACATGTTTCTCTTTGCTGCCTTACACATTCGTCACATCCCAAGGTCTGCGCTTTATTGCTTTGGTGCAATGATGGCTGGGGCATGCGGGGAGCCGTAGGCTTGCTTTTTGTCTAGACTTTCATAGGATTGTGCCGCAGGTTACATACACTTTCCCAGAAATTTCATGAGTTTATTTTACTAACTGTATCTTCATCTAAATCCCCTCCTATTTTTTCTTACCAGTCTTCTGGTTTTACTTTCACCCAATATGACTTAAGTTTGCCTAGGATGCCTTATGAGAGAGCAAGTGTGCGCATGTAATTTCTGATCCTTAGTTTTGTATTGACAGTTTATAAATAAAGTATATATAAATGTACTTATTTATAATAATAAATAAATATACTATTTATGTATGTCCCATATGGATTGAAAGCACTCAACCAACAAGGCATTTCATCACTGATTCATGAATCAGCAGGCTACTTTTTAAAACCCTAACCTTTCAAAGTTTGGGTCTAAAGGCTATAGCTAGGAATCAAAGTCAGCGCATTTTTACTGACGTTGACTCTGGTAACCCAAGAATTGCTTCCAATTCCACAGCCCTGTTGAGAATAAGGAATGTAATGATTATACCATTCCAAAAGAACTGATGGGAGAGCTTTAAAGTGGGCCAAGTTAAAGGTTCTGCACTTGTTAGGAATTTCATGTGCGCAACTCTAGTCCTGTGGGACAGTGTTTCTGTCCTGATTACTAGCTGCCAGATACCACTGGATGTGCCAGATACCACTGGATGTTTGCTCTGTCTTCCTGTAGAGTTATTTCCCCAAAAATAAGAAAAGCTATGCTATATCAGACCAATGGTTCAGCACTCCATACACATGCTGGCAAACCACCTGCCCCTCGGGATCCCTCAAGCAAGATGGGTGCAAGACCTCCTCCTGCCCAAGTTCCTCAGCAGCTGGTGTATGCAGGCCTGCCACCTCTGGTAAGGGAGGTGGTACATAGCCAGCAAGTCTAGTAGCCACTGATAACCTCCTCCCTCATGAATCTGTCCAAGCACTTTTCAAAGCCATCCAGAGCAGCATACCCATTGCAGCAAATTCCTTTGCTTAACACATGGCTGTGTGAAGAAGTTCTTCATTTTATCTGTCCTAGACCTCCCACCAGTCAGCTTCATGGGATGACCCTAGGTTTGATCATTATGGGAGAGGGAGAAAAATGTCCATTTCTCCACACCATGCATTATTTTAAACACCTCTTCCATGTCTCCCCTTCCTCTCCCTTTTTCTAAGCTGAGCAGTCCTGGTTGTCATAGCTGCTCTTCAGGGGGAGCTGCTCCAGCCCCTTGATCATTTCTCTTTCTCTTCTCTCTGTTTTCCAACTCAGTAATGTTCATTTTCGTGTAAGGCATCCAGAACTGAACTCATTTTTGAGAGTAAGATACTGTTTAGGTCACTGGGTGACATTCATGCACAAAACCTTTTGAATATGGAAACAAATATTGCTGGAACATGGGTTAGGACATAGGATCACTAATTTAATTTTGCAGTTTTTCATTCATGGCATCAGCCGATGCCATAAAGAACATGCCATAAAAGACATCAAAGGTGGCTATATTTCATTTACTACTTCAAATTTCCAAGCTTTGCATCCTTTTTCTTCCTTTTGTGGCTTGGTACATAAAATCAGAAATTGGAAAGGTATGAGGACCAGCAGTCCACATGCACACAAAGCAGCTACTTAGATCTTATTCTTATAAGAGGCAAGAACCTCAGTGTGACTGGCCACATATACTCAAGAGCTCCCTGTGGAACTGCTATTTGTTCAAGGACTAAGTTCCATTATGAGCATGAAATTGCTTCAAACAGTACAATGAATGGGGAAGATTGCACACGAAGGAGCTCTGTATGCACACGGAAGGCAGTAACTTCAGTTGAGATGTATATGGTGTATGAAGCAGAGTGTGCAAGTGATCAGAAATTTTTGAAGGTTGTTTCACAAGCCGCTTATTTCCTGTTGCAAGAAAATTACAAAATGTATGAGTTGTAATGTGCTAGTAAGAAATGCAGGATTGGCAGATAATTTTCAGTAGCTTTTTCAAATGCATGCATGAACATTCACAGCCCCAAAACTGTAGTTTTACATTTATACAGCACAGATCTGTTAACTGGTGGTTGCAACACAAAAAAGTATTAAAACAGATCTCTTTTCGTGTTTTAGAATTTTGCCAAAAACATATTTGCAATTCTTCAGTCCGTCAAAGCTAGAGAAGAAGGCCGTGCTCCTGAGCAAAGACCAGCCCCAAATGCTGCACCAGTGGTAAGACTAATTCTGAAGAAGGGGATAAACCTTTACTGGTTTTTTAAAGGGGAAAAAGATAAAAGAATGGGAGTTTATTGGCAGTTTGGTTTCAATTAAAACAAGAAAGGCTTCTAGTATTAAGGGTTTCTTTTAATTGTAAATTAGGTGTTATTAACATTCTTTTACAAATATTTTGTCATGGCAAAGCAGTCTGAATGTCAAAGGGAAAGAACCAGTTGGGGCTTTTCTGCCTGCAGCATAGCACAGAAATACTAACATGTCGCTAGTGGAGGAGTCAAAAGATTGCCACACAACTGCTGCTGCTTGTCCAACTTAAGTTGGAATGAAGTCCACCCACTTTTTCATGCTTACAGTGGGTGATGCCATCCTTATCATGGCAAGAGGACTTAGTGAAACGTGGACATCATGGTAGCTTCACTAGATAAACTTCTATAGCCAATCAAGTATAAAATAAAGCATATTTTCAAAGAAATAATAAACATGCCACAAATGGTTTCTTCTGTTTTGTTTTCAGGATCCCACTTTACGGAATAAGCAGCCAATTCCAGCTGCCTACAACAGATATGATCAGGAGAGGTTTAAAGGAAAGGAAGGTAAGTTTACATTAATCATTATCTTAACATTAGCCATTATGTATTGAAATGTTACATGATTATTAAAGATACAGCTCATTTCTGAATCTCTGGTGTTGGCAATGATGCCCAGGAACCTATTCATATGAAACAAAAATAATTTTATAAAAATCAAAGTAGAAAATAAGAAATAGTGAATCATTATAAAGCAAATGGTATTTTAGTAGCTTTGCTTCTATTGCAAATTTGTTTCCATTCCATCGGTCTTGTTATAAAGGCTCAATGCATAATGTTTTCTTAGCTCCTTAATTCATGTTTGTTTGTCAACATTAAACCAAGTGCTTTTGATTGTATTTGCTCAAATGTTGCCTTTTGTCCATTGTGGTTCCTGCTGCAGCATCTGCATTCTTAGTCTTTGCTGATAACACTTTACTGATAGTGCTAGTAGACATTGACAGTATTTAAGCAACCAGTTTTTCTTTAAATTAGCTGAGTAGAAAAACTACAGTAATTACTTCAGTCCTGCTTTCTTGTTAACAAAAAATGCATTTACTGATGAATTATACTGTGTTCATTAATTCAGATGCTTTTAGGAAAAAGGTCTCTCTCTCTCCCTCTCTCTCTCTCTCTCTCTGCAAAGTTCAGGTGCATGTTGTCATGTGCAGGCACAGTTTGCTTTCCCTCTGTCCTCTTCCTCATTTCATTTCTATATCATCCTATTGCTAGAACTAACTAAGTGATCTACAACAATGCATAAAACAAAACAATACAATACAATGCAGGTATCAGAAAAGCAAAACAAAAAAATTAAATAGCTTTAAAATACACAGTAAAAAAGTAAAGAAAAAATCAAAGGAAAAAAATCCCCTCGATAATTGGCTTGGGTTCCAAGTCAAGGGCTGTCTTTTGGTGCTGAAAAAATTGACAAGTTTGGCACCAGTGGTCAGCAGTAGGAAAGTTGTTCCAGAGGTGAGGGGGCCACCACAGAGAAAGCCCCCCCCATTGTCACTGTTAGAGTCTCCCTCAGAGTTGGCACTCAGATGAATGACAGCACTGAAAAGCTCCTCTGGGAGGCAATGGGAAGAATTAATAGTGGCAGAGGAATGCTGCTTCTTTTCCTCCAGATGCACACCGGGGTTTGGTTGCATCCACTTGGAGTTTTTCTCCTTCTACATTCCAAGCTGTCTTCTAAGTCAGGGTATACCGTGGAGCCATTTGAGCTCTACAACAGGGGGGGCACTCATAGGTCATCCTGTCAACAGCTTATGTCATTTCAGTATTCCCTAGCGCTTCGACAGGCTCACCGTCAGAAATTCCCCCCAGAGCCTTCTAGAAACCATCCAGATCCATTAGCCTCCAGAGGTGGACCATCTTAATAAGTCTCCCACCCTTGCAGAGGAGAACACCTATCAGTTGAAAGAGTTGATTCTGGAATAGTCTCCCTAGAAGTCACGGAGGGAAAAACCAGTTGGTATCAAAACTGAGCTATCACATTTAGGAAACATTTTTTTTTAAATTTTCCACTGAATTGATTTATTTATTTAGACAGCTTATATGCCGCCTCCATCGCAAAAGCCTCGGGGCGGCTTACAATCATTAAAATCCCGCATAAAATGCAAAAAAATCATCAAATAAATAAAATACATAGCATAAAATAGTGAAACAGTCTGGTCAATTTAAAATCAACAAATAAACCATTAACAGTTAAAATAGCGTTTAAATAAAAAGGTCTTGGCCTGGTGCTAAAAAACAAATAACGACAGCACCAGGCGGACCTCTCTGGGGAGCTCATTCCATAGGTTGGGCACCACTGCAGAGAAAGCCCTCCTCCGAGTACTCACCCTCCTAATATCCTTCACAGAGGGTTCCCGGAGAAGGGCCTATGCCGCAGATCTCAGGGGGGCGGGAGGGCATATATGGACGTACGCACTCCTTTAGCTAACCAGGACCTAAGCCATTCAGGGCTTTGTCGGTGATAACCAGCACCTTGAATTGGGCCCGGACTTCAATGGGGAGCCTGTGGAGCTGACGGAGGCCTGGGGTTATATGAGAACAATGCCCAGTCCCCGTCAGCAGCCTGGCAGCTCTATTTTGCACCAATTGAAGTATCCGGACCATCTTCAAGGGCAGCCCCAGGTAGAGCGCATTGCAGAAGTCTAATCGGGAAGTGACCAATGTGTGTGTCACTGTTGCCAGGCAGTCGTTCTCCAGGTAGGGACGCAGCTGGTGGATCAGCCAAAGCTGAAGGAAAGTGCTCCTCGCCACCGCTGTCACTTGAGCTTCCAATGATGGCTCAGGGTCGAGGAGTACTCCCAAGCTGCGGATTCTGTCCTTAAGAGGGAGTGCAACCCCATTCAGGACAAGGTCAAAGTCCCCCATCCCAAAGCCCAGTCCACCTGCCAACAGAACCTCCATCTTGTCTGGATTGAGCTTCAGTTTATTGGCCCTCATCCAGCCCATTACCTCAGCCAGGCACCGTTTCAGTACGGCCACTGCCTCACCTGGATTGGTAGAGAACGAGAGGTAGAGAGGTACTGATGGTTCCGCAGCCCACACCTCCTGATGACCTCTCCCAGCGGTTTCATGTAGATGTTAAATAGCATGGGGGACTCCATGGCATAACTGCCATGGCACAGAGCCATAGTGCCCCAGCACCACCTTCTGGGATCGGCCGTTGAGATAGGAGCGGAACCACTGCAAAGCAGTGCCCCCAACTCCCAATCCCGCTAGCCTATCCAGAAGGATACCATGGTCGATGGTATCGAAAGCCACTGAGAGGTCCAGAAGAACCAACAGGGACGCACTCGCGCTGTCTTTCTCCCTGCACAGGTCATCGTACAGGGCGAGCAAGGCAGATTCAGTACCGTACCCGGGTCTGAAGCCAGACTGAAATGGGTCCAGATAACCAGTTTCCTCCAAGAGTGCTTGGAGTTGTCCCGCCACCACCCACTCTAACATCTTGCCCAGAAACGGGATGTTGGCCACCGGTCTATAATTGGTGGCCATCTCTGGATCCAGGGAAGCCTTCTTTAGGACTGGCCGGACTACCGCCTTCTTTAAAGGGGCAGGTACCTGGCCATCCCTTAGAGAGGCGTTGACAACCTCCAGGATCCAGGTCCCTATCCCATCCTTGGCTGCAGCCAAGATGGGCAAGGATCCAGTAAGCAGATTAACTGTCCTTCCATGCTGCACCAGCAGATTGTGGTGTCTTTGCAATGGTGTGTGCTACACATACACACACCTCTGATTGGCATGACTGCAGAGACTCTTTTAGTCACAACGATTCAAGGACCTAGCCACTTTTCCAAAGGAACTTACTTACCTCACCATGTAAAGATGAAAATTTTGCCTACCATGGCTTTGGAGGACTGCAGGATTATACCATCCTTTCTTCCCTCTCTTCCTAAGTGATATGTCTGCAGCAACAGTGTTAGCCAGGATTCAGTCTTATTTGGCACTTTTAATCAGCTTCTAAATGTGGGAAATATTGAACTCCAGTTAGTATTAGGATTGGTTAATATATTGGTATAACATGGCTAGCCCTGGTAGAAGAAATTCATCCTGAAGAGAAGGTCTGGTGAGGGGGGCAGTTTCCTACAACTCATTAACGATGGCTGTGGCATCCCTGCAGCTGCCCTTGTTGACTGTGTGGTTTCTGTCCTTGCTGACTTTTCCTGCCAAGTATTTCCTTTTGATCTGATCGTCTATGACAGAGTGATGCTTGTAATTGCAAGGCAGCATATGCATTTAATAAGTGTGCTGAAAGAACAGTAGTCTTGATGATCCGGTGTGAACATGTAATCACAGTCTTAGTATTTCTTGCCAAACAAAATTGGCAATGCCGCATAGGTGGTTTCATTTTTGCTGATGTGAACAATTAATACCTGTGCTAATCAATTGTTACTTTTCTCAGGAACAAATTTTTATTTGCAGTTTTAGAAAATTAAATAACTGCACAGTTTTGATATTTCATATGCAACAATTTAGTTCATTTTCCTGAGTTTTGTGCATGTTTGATTTTTACTGCATCTTTCATTTTTTTTTTTTTTTTACAATAAAGCCAACGTATCTTGCTGACATCTATTTTTAATCCCTAGTATTTGCATCAAATATGCTAGGATAAGTCTGTTTTCTATATTTATTCACATTTTTTGGGGTCTGGTAAATTCAGTTCAGGGGGATTTCATAAAAGTTAAAAGCCTCTTGGGACAGTGCCATGATCTATTACTATTCATATTCTTTACATAGATTATCATTAAAGGATATACTGAGTCCTTTTTCTTTGGGGTTTATGTCAGCCTGAGGAAACATTACATGTTTCTTATCTTTTAAATGGTTTGTAGTAAAGGCTTATGTTTGTTAATATAGAAAGTAACATCTTTAGTTTCCTCATTTGCTACCTGTACCTATTTTGTAGACTATGTGTAGTGCTACCACAGCTTAAATATAGAAGGATAAAGTATGAACAATGAACAGTGGATTGATATACTATCCCCATCAAAATCTTACCTGTCCTTTTAAACAATTTAGATGAAGGCACATTCATGGACTGCCAAAGAGAGGCTACTGAGCTGCCAAGGTGTTTAGGCACCCAGGTTCATAAAGGAGCATGGCTATGCAGCAGGCAGTGTAAAATCTCTGGCTTTACCAGAGCTAGAAACATGGTGAACTGCCTTGCCAGCATCAGAACAGGTTCTGCCTGTTGCACTTCAGACTTCAGGTTCAGTCCTTGAGTAGCTTGACTAAGGGGCCTAGACCTAAATTGGCAAGCAATATGCTCACAGGAACCAGTGCAGGCTGTAAATATCTAGGCAGGAGAGGTTACTTGGATGTGCCACTCATGTGATAATTCTCTGCTTGATAGGCATGTCATGAGCAGAGCCATGTAAAGCCAGGGGTCAGACTAGATGGCCCAGGAGACCCCTTCTGACTTGCTCTGTTCCTATGTTTCTCTGCTTAGGCAGCCCTATTGCAGGAAGTGGGATGGACGGGGTATGGTGTATGGCAACCAATTACAGAAA